TGGAGGAATAGGCCCGGCAGTCTGCTTTCATTGACATGATTGTTGTTAGTTGCTGCCAAGTCCATTCCAACTCAGGGCTTGCCAGCCGCGTCAGAGTAGAACTATGCTGCACAAGGCTGCCTGGCTGCGAGGGCATCTCTGCTAGATGTGTTTGAACCGCCAACCTTTTGGCTAGTAGCCTTTGACTTAACCATTTACTCCAACGAAGCACTCCTTCCTTAAAAAGATGTAAGATGATTATTGGTGTTGTTAGCTGTGATTGCGTTGCTTCCAACTGTGAGCAACCCTGTGTATAACAGAACACACCACTGCCCAGGCCTGCACCACCCTCACAATTGTGTTCTTGGAGCCTGTTGTTGCAGCCACTGTGTCGATCCATCTCATTGCGAGTCTTCCTCTTTATCGCTGCCCTTCTAGTTTACCAGGCATCATGTCCTTTCCCCAAGGATTGGTCCCTCTTGCTAACATGTCCAAAGCACATGGGACAAAGTCTAGCCATCCTCACTTCTAAGGAGCCTTCTGGCTGTCCTTCTTCCAAAGCAGATGTGTTGGTTCTTTGGGGCAGTCCATGGTGCTTTCAGTATTTTCCACCAGCACCACAATTCAAATGCATCCATTCTTCTTCCTCACACTTTGGCACTTCCCTAGGAAAAGAATTCTGGCTTCATTTTTTATCCTCAGAAGATTTCGTAGCTATTACTCTTTGTCTTCTAGGAGCCCAGATGGCTGGTGGTCGTTTCTGTATGGCTTTGCTGCCTTTTCCCTCTCCAGAAGCTTGTTTATTTTTCCCCTTGAATTTTTATCCTGATGTATAGCAACAATAGCAGCTACTAAACTTCCTGCCCCACCTTTTGAGTATTTGCCACATGCCAGGCTATGCAGTAAGTACTTTATGTGCATTGATTTATTGGGTTCTTAAAGCAACTCTGTGAGGAAGGTCAGATTTTATTATCTACACTGTATAGATAGGAAGGAGCTCTGGTGAGGTAGTGGGTTTTGCACTGGGTTGCTAGGTCAGGAGTTCAAAAACCACTTGCCGCTCCATAGGAGAAAGACGAGGCTTTTTACAGACAGAGAAACCACAGGGGCATTTCTTCCCTGTCCTCTAGGGTAACTGAGAGGCAGAACGGACTCACTTGCAGTGAGCTGTTTGGCTTTGGGTATGGAAGGGAAAGCTGAGACATTGAGCGAGAAGTAACTTGGTCAGCAACACTCCCAAATGAGGGTCAGTGCCAAGATTGGAGCCCAGGCTATCTAATTTTACAATTCTAACTCCTGCCTTCTTTCTAAGGCTATAACCCAAGGGTAGATGCTTTCCATCGAAAGCTTGCTGCCTTTCTTCAGTGCATTTCCCCTGCCGTCTCTTTTTTCCTTTCTTCTGTAGCCTCTGTTCTCTGCTCTTGTCAGGTCAGGGAGGCAGGATCGAGGCCATTTAGATTGGGCTTATCTTTTAACTTTCCTTACACATTTCCCCCTTCTGTTTAAGGTATGTGATTTCTTCAGTTTTACTGTCCATATAGCAAAATCAATTCTTAACTGTGTCTATTAAATGTGCTCACTTACTATTCCGTTTACTATTGATTTTTTTTTTAAGAATTTTTTCTTCTTTTACTGCTCTTTCATATAACAGCCCATTCTCATACTGTGAATGCAATAGATTTTGGAGTTTCATGGTGGATAGAATTTTCTGAAAGTTTTCTTCTGTTGCCTGTTGCCTGCTTTAGTCAGTTACTTGTTCTATATGTTCCTAATGTTTCTGTCACTCATTTTCTTTAAGTGTTTAGAAATTCCTGGCTTTCTATAAATACAGGACTAGGATTTATAAATACAGGACTAGGCTGATCAGTATAAGTAAATGGCATAATAGGTTTTCTCTTTGAACATGAAAACTAACTGCAGAGTTACTCTGTATAAGTGGGCAGGATTAAAATGACTATTTTTGCAGGTTAAAAACAATTGAAGTTTGTAATTTCTATAATATAAATTTATAGGTGCGCATGTATTGCTGCCAAATGTTTAAAGTTTTCATTTATGGGTGTAAAACTTTAAATGTTTTGAGACTGTTGGTATATTATGTTGATTATCAGTTTTAGAATTAGATAGACTTGGACTCAAAGCATAATTCTGGAACTTATAACTTGTTGGTTGTAGCAAGTCACTTAATTAGACTGATATTCATTAAACCTTTTGTCTTAAAAAAATAACTCTAACAAGAATTTTGTGAAAATTATAAGATAATGTATTATAAAGACCTAGAATATCATGGATTGTTAGTAAATACTAGTTACCTATCACTGTGGGTTAATAAGTCATGAAGTTTAACATCAAAAATATATAATGAGGAATTCTAAAAATAGATGCTATAGAAGGAATGTCACTTTTAATTCATTTTATGAATTTCCTAGAGTTATTTTAAGAGCCCCCTATGTTGCGAAGGAGTTTTTAAAGAGGAATCAATATAAGCAGATGATTGGCAGAGCTGGCCGTGCTGGGATAGATACTGTTGGGGAGAGTATCTTGATATTGCAAGCAAAGGATAAGCAACAGGTAAAAGTAGTCTACTTTGGCTTCTTTTCCTTGGTCTTTGGCCTCACCCTTTTCTGAGGTCAATTTTTCAAAGTCATTAATGTTCTCTTAGGTGATTAATCATTAGAAAGAGTCTTCTGGATACTTTTATATTTCAATCACAGTAGAAAAAGTTTTTAATCATTTTT